GTCCCACGCCTCCGCCTCCTCCCTCCTCCCTCCCTCCCTCCTCCTCCCTCCCTTCCCTCCTTCCCTCCCTCCCTCCCTCCCTCCCTCCCTCTCCTCCTCCTCTCCCTCCCTCTCCTCCTCCTCCTCCCCCTCCTCCTCCTCCTCCTCCTCCTCTGCCGCCGCCGCCTCCTTCTGCAGTGAAAGATGCTGTACTAGAAGTAGTTGGTGCTGTACATCATGATGATGAAGGTAGTTGTAGCGGTGGTGATGATGATGAAAGCGAAGTTGATTCCACAAACTTACAAGTCTCTCAGACGGGCCATCCCCGCCATCAGGAGGGAGGAGAGAGAGACTGGTCTTTCAGGTGAACGCACTTGATCCCAAGACTGTGCTGAATGTTTCGAGCAGGAGGTGTCGGTCAGCACCGAGACCGAAGATTGAGATGGTGGAGATGAACAGGAAATGTTTGCAGAGCACTCTTTGCCATAACATTTATGATAAAAGACATGAACATCGTAATGATGAAACAACCATGATTGACATTCAACAACATGCACCGACACCTTGGTCTGACCTGTTCTCTGCATACGAGCAGTGCTGGACATTATCAGACTCAACGTAACCAGGTCAACAAAACTTCCTTCTCCTCCTTCTCCTCCTTCTCGTCAACGAGTCTTGAGGTCCAAGAAAGCAATCATAAACTCCGTTATCTCTCGTCGACAATTAGCCGTCTCCTCCTCAGTAACTTCTCCTTTCCACCTGCACCATCCTTAAGAGATCCATCCCCTCCCTTCCTTCCTCCTCCACCCGCTCCTGCTCCCCCTCCCCCTCCTGTTCCTGCTCCTGCTCCCGCTCCCGCTCCTGCTCCTGCGCCAAAATTCTCCTCTTCTCACCGGCAAGCTTGTGTTCGGAAGAGGCTCATCCTTTCTTGTGAGAACAATGAATCGAGGTGGAGGGAAGCGTATCGATGGTAGCGACGAGGAGGAGGAAGTTTTGTCCCGTCCCCTCCCTCCTCACTCCTTGCTGCCTCCTCCTTAAGCTCTGCCTGCTGGTGCCCGCAAGTCAGCCTCCTTTCTGTCCTGCTGCTGCGATATCACCTCGTCCTCGAACCATGCGCTCTCTCGCGGATCCGTCGCCTCGTCGGCTTCGCCGTAGACAAGGATCTGAGATGATGAGGAGGAGAAATGAAAAGGAAGACATAAGGAGAACGTTTGTGGAAGGAGGAACACAGGTAGGAAGGGAAGAGAGGGAGGGAGGATGAGAGAGGAGAGAAGAGTAAGAGGGCCAGGAGAGAAGAGAGGAAAGAGAGAGGGAGAGAGAACAGATTTGGAACAGGTAAGGAGGGAAAGGAGGGAGGAAGGGAGAGAGGAAGGGAGGGAGGAAGGGAGGAGGGACATGAAAGAGGGGAGAGAAGAAGAGCGAGAGGAAAGAGGAAGGGAGAGGAGACAAGAGAGAAGTGGTGTAGGTTGGGATTGGGGTCAAGAGAGGAGAGAGAGGAAAGAGGGGAGTAGTGCGAGGATGAAGATGTACCATCCTGTCGAGTGCGTCGAGCGGGCGAAACTTGTGTTGAGGTCGCTGAAGGTTTAGATCCGGCAGGAGACTCGCGTTCGAGTAGTACAAGTGAGGCCTGAAGGTGAAAATTAGATGAGAAGGGGTGGAGGAAGAGAGGGGAGGGGAGAGGGAAGAAGAGGAGAGGTCAGAGAAAGATGAGTGAAGAGGAGTAGGCGAGGAGTTAGAAAGGAGGAGCGAAGCAGAGCAGAGCAGAGCAGAGCAGAGCAGAGCAGAGCAGAGCAGAGCAGAGCAAAACATTCTCCCGAACCTTGTATGATCGAGGTGAACGCCAGCTGAAGCGACGCAGGACTGAACGAAAGGAGAGTACGGGTCACGTTTGCCCTCAAGGTCAGGATGAGCCGCGAAGATCTTGTTGCCGTCCTCCTTGGCCTGCTTCTTGCATCCAGCATGCGGCGTGTTGTAGGTGATGAGAGTCTTGACAGGAGGAGCGTTGCACGCCTGAGAGGTTGGGATTTCAGAGAGGTGCAGGGAGCTGTGGGAGAAGATTATGTTGTTATTGTTGTTGTGGTGGTGGTGGTGATGATGATGATGACTATGACTATGACTATGACTATGACGACGTGTTGTTGTTGTTGTTGTTGTTGTTGTTGTTGTTGTTGTTGTTGTTGTTGTTGTTGTTGTTGTTGTTGTTGTTGTTGTTGTTGTTGTTGTTGTGGATGATTATGATGATGATGATTATGATTATGATTATGATTCTGAAACATGAAAAGACAGAGAGAATCAGAGGAAGGGAAGGAGAACGAGAGTGGCTACACAATCTGACCTGCACGTATCCTCGTGCCAGGATCCCACCCTAGGGAGCGAAGGAGCATTGAAACTTCATCGTGAGCTGAAAGTTTCGACAAGGACGAGACAGTTTCGCACCATTCCGATAGCAATCAGGTCAAACCCTCCCTGCAGACGACCGTCGTCCTCTATGACCTCACAAACTCGCTCAATCTGCCTTGCTCCGTCAGCGGCCCTCGACCACCATCCTGCTCCGGCTCGGCGCCACCTCCATTCACCTGCTTGTGTAGAGGGAGCATCATACGGTATGCATACTCGAGAGATCTGTTCTCCGTCCCATGTTCGTTCACAAGGTAGAGCAAACGAACGTAAACTCCTGGCAAACTCAAACGAGTCCAGTCGGCGATCTGTCGCTCGAACCGCTCCGTCTCCTCCCTGTGATGCCCGATGATGACCACAGGACGGTACTCACTCGCCATCTCCTCCTTGAGATGCTCAGTCCTCACCAGGGGTGCGGGACAATGTCCGAGCGCCATGCATGGCTGACAACCAGTTCACTGGCAAAAAGCAACAGCACAGGGCAACCTGCGAAGTCAGGAGGTTTGCCGCCCTCAACTTCTCACAGAACTCTTCGCAGTGCTGATCTTCTGCATCCGGAGGAACGACAAGGAAGCAGTGCGACATGCACGTGTCCTCTTTTCCAGCATGACCGTAGCGCTGCATGGCAAGGGTCAGTAGCCTTGTTGCAGCCCCTGCCCCCTCCTCCTCACCTGCAGCGCGTTACAAGCGACGCATTCAACACTCGCCATGAGCATCTTGTGGTTGTACTCGCTCTCCCAGTCCTCCGTGAAGGTCTTCATCTCCGACGCCTCCCCCTGACACTCCGAGACCATCCAGTCAAGCACTACTAGAAGGGCGGAGGAGGCGACCATGGTCAGCCTGGAGCTGTCGTCACCCGCACCATGGGAGGGAGAGCATGAGATGGTCTGCCAAGAGACATACCTTGCTCGATCTCGTCTCCTTCCTCCTCGCCTGTTGCCCCCGTCACGCCCTCCAGCCATTGTGGCGTGGAGCTGTTAGTGTGGATCAACCAATTCCAGGCTGAATTCCAGCGTCAAGTGCTCGCCGGAAGCTGCCGGGCGCCGCCGCCCGGCCGGCCTTGCGGCGGCTGGCCCGGCCCGGGCGCACGGTCGGTGCAACTCAGTTACTGCCAGTCCGAGGGGCCGATGTCACGGGCCACGACTCCGGGCTGGGTCCCGGACGGGCCGGCCGGGCGTCCGATCCGTCACGGGGCCCGGCCGGATCGGACGGTACCGTTCGCCGGACGGCGCGACGGTCCGCACCCGATCACGGAGGCTCCGTCATCATCTGCAGCCACGGTTCGAGGTCGTATGTCGTATAGACGCCGGTCGCCGGTCGGACTCGCGCACTGCCGGCCGGGCTGCAGGCCGGGCCAGACTCGTGACTCAGGGCCCGCCCGACCGTACCATGGCAGTTTCACTGAGTCCGACCGTCAAGTCCACCTAATGCCGGCACCACCCCTGGCACTCGGAAGGGGGGAAGAAGGGGGTATCAACTGGTCAGAGGAGGGGTCAAGATCTGGGCAGTTGAGTGAAACTTTTGATTGGTCGGAGATGCCGGCCGGAAAGCCGTAGGCGGGGAGGAGGAAGAGGAGGAGGAGAAGGGAGGCAGCGAATCAGTGAGAGAACATCGGGAAGGAGAGGTGTATAGAGAGGCAGAAGGGGGGGTAGAAGGGGAGGAGGAGAAGGAGGAGGAAAAGAGGAGTTACTCGAAGTGAGTACAATTTGAAGAGAAGGAGCCGGGATGGGAACTGGCAAGGAAGGGCAGATATCATATGCCATGTCAAATTTTGCTGTATTGCTCATTTTTTTCTGAGCTGGAAGGAAATGATTATCTTTTCGCAGGGTGTTGCGTTTCCTCCCCGCGCCATCCTTCCTACTCCGCACAAACCCTGGGCACCCATACCGTTGACTCGGGTGCCTGGGGGACCATGATGACAGCTGGTTTTTACTCCGAAGACACTTCATTGCCAACATTATCATTGTTGTATACATGAGCCCTTCTTGTCTTGGATAGCTGGAGATGAGTGCGGGGTTCCGCTGGGGTGTCGCTGTTTCCTAGCGGAGCCCTTGCACCACAAACTCGTGGGGATCAACATTCTCCTGTCAGCTGTGGGCAAGGCGAGGATGGCCGCAGCTAGAGTTTGTAAGCCTCTCGTGGAGTTCCTGGACTGAATGAAGATGAAGCCAAGCTCCGTGACGTCGTCCTCCAGCACCGTCGGTGCGGAGGCAAAGCCTCGGTTCTGGCTCTGGTCTTGCCTCCCCCGCTGCTTCTTCCCAAAGAAGCCTGATACTCTAGTTGAGGCAACAGCGTCTCTGGGTTTTCAAGGCATTGGATCGACCTCCTTCGTCGACATCGAGAACGATCCGCACAATGTGAAGGAGGAGGATGGACCCCTGACCAAGACCTTCTCTACCCAGGCCAGCCAAGTCTCATCAGGCACGAACCGCCGCTCCACCTTTGCCGGCTTCAGATCTTTGTCGCTTTCTGAAGGCGGCACACGGAAGAAGGAAGATGACGTGCAGGAGAACGAAGGGTCTCCATCCTTGGAGAGCAACAGGGACCTACAAATGTGCCCATTCTGCGGGAATGTTCAGGTGAGGGCTGGAGGGTCATCATGGTTGTCGATCGTCAGCCGTTGCACAGGCCGTTGCAGATGTCTGTTTGTCGTGCAACACGGAGATGAAGGTGTCTTGCCGGGATGTTGAGCTGGGATGTTGTTGAGCACGACGACAGGTCGATGACGAGACTTTGATCGAGATCGCTGGAGAGAGTCAGGTGGAAACAGGGTGATGGGTCAGTTGATAGCGCGAGATGGACGGATGTCTGTGAATGGCGAGGACAGAGATGGAGTTGCGCAGAAAGTTCAGCAAGCTGACGCTCCTCTTGTAGATACCAGTCTGGTGCCTTCCACCGGAAGCTCCGGTGAACCTCCACAAGGTTGATGGAGGATTGTTGGTCGAGGGGGATGCGAAGTCCTGATTTCTGCGATCCCAGGTGGATCTTGACAACGAGATTCTACACGTCTGTCTGGGAAAGACTCCTTTTGACGAGGAGCTGGACCAGAGGTGGGACCTTGACGCCCTTCGGCTCTGCTCGACCCCTCAACTTTCGTAGGAACTCGAAATCCGGGGAGAGGGACGCGACTTTGCAGGTCTGTTTGGGATGAACAGGAGGGCTAGATGGATTCCTCTGACAGCTTTCTTCGCCTTCCAGACCTGTGTTGAGCACTACAGCCTCGAGAACATCTTCAGCCATTCCCCGAGTCTTCTTAGCAGCAGCAGTGTGCAAGGTCTCATTTTCTCGATATCCCTTGTCGCCCAAGTTCTTATCGACTCCGTGCAGGATGGCTGGGCAAGGAGAAAGAGGACATGGCGGATGCTACTTTGAAACTCTCGCCCTCAGTTCGAGGCCCGATATCTCCGGCCTTCGGGATGAAGTACCAGCACCAGATCGTGTCCCGGGAGATGTTCAGGAAAAGGTGAATCGATGCTTGGACTTTGACTCTGGTTATAACTCCCCTCCCCGACAGCTTGCAGCGCTCGGAGAAGAAGTTCAAAGATGACGACGTGAGCAGCGGCCGCCGTCGGGGGGGCGATTGGTCGTGCATGACTCGCTTTTCAGGTGTACGTGCGCCGGAGATCCTCGTCGAAGTCGCTAGTAGAGGACACGCGAAGGTCATCACGACAGACAGAGGTCGGAGAAAACATCGGTAGGCCACAATCGTCGCCGGTCACTTCCTGCCGTGTGGTGAAACTTTGGTAGATGAGGCATGGGTCGGGTTGAGTCAAGGCTTCAAGAACTTGCAGTCCCCAGGTGCTCGGGTCACCATGCCGTAGCCTGTGCCGCCGTCCCGTGGTTGGACTGACTTGGTGTCGGCTCAGATTTCATCTTCAAGAAGCTCACGGGCTATCAAGGTGAAACTTTGCCGAGTCGACCCCGGGCGGCGGCTGGCCATGGGCTGACATTCTCAGTTCCAGAGTGAAGAGAAAATACTTGGACGCCGCGGCTACGAGCCAAGTGCTTTGGCACAGCTAAAGAAGAAAACAGCTACGCACTGACTCATCATGTTTGCTGTTATGATGACATTGAATAAATCCCACGAACTCACGCGCCGGGCGCTAGCCCAGCCTGAGCGCCCCGGGCTGCGACAGAATCCGAGAACCCGGTCTTCGGCAGCGACAACAGTGAATGCTGGACTCCTTCCGAAGTTCCGGGGGCCCGGCGGCCTGCTAGATCTGAGGGCCCAGTCATCGTCGGATCCGGGGATGCCGCCACCGGTGACCGTCACGGCCAACGCCGGCCCCCGGGCCCGGAGTCCTGACTCTGACTAGAATGACTAGAATCAGTCCCCGCTAACGGTCGGACCTTGAATCGCGACGGATGGTGAGGATTGTTTTTAGGCGGCCCCACCACAGGCCGCTGGTAATGCCTATGGGAAATAGGGGTGCTGGAATTAGGGTGGGGTGGTAGGAGGCTAGTGGTGGGGTGGTGGTGGGATGATGATGGGGTGATTTATGGGGGGGTGGGTGCGTCTAATCCCAGCCTCATCGAACCCACCCCTCCTTTCTACATGAATTTGGACCCCTACATGACATGAAATGGATTTGAAATGACGTCTTATCGAAAGGAGGTTTTAGCGCGTGCAACCCCTGGGTGGGGTACTAGGTGGTCAAAAGGAGGGGTCTGTGGGAATGGTTTTACCACATTCACCGGGGATGGGAAGAAGAAATGCTTGAAGGGGAAGAGTTTTAACCAGGGGACCAGTTTCAAAATTTCATTCCCAATTTTGTCTAAATATTACTGAACAAATTTCAATAATTCACTGATAATCCAAACAAATATTCCCATTGTATTAATATTCGCTCTCACCCCCATCGACTACCCTCCCCTTGAAAATTCGTCCCCTCCATGCAGAGCATAATATGACCAATGTACCCCTTTAAAACATACCCCTACCCCCATATTGATGCTTATCAGGGAACCAAATTGATAAATCAACTGGGGGTACTGAACATTTAAGTGTTCTCAATAAAAGCTACCCATGTATAGCTATTTACTATGAAAAGAACTAATTGAATAACGTATACTGCCTCTCTTCCTGGCCTTGCAAGTACCCCTCAGTTCATCTACCCTATTTCCTGAGCATCATTCTCGGTTGGTAGTACCCGTAGTGACTATTCATATACCCCCACCCTGTCCTATCTTCAATATCTCTTCCCCTACTACCCCCACCTTCAAATATGAGTTCTCCTTCGTACCCAACACCACCCCCCCTTCAGTGGTCATTGTCACCCGTAGTCCATCCGTCTCCCATTCCCTGTTACCTTCCTTCCCCCTTCCCAAGTACGTTCCCACAATTCACCCCCTCTCTCCCTTCCTCTCATTTCTGATCTATCTCCCGACCTCCTTCCGACACAACACAGAGGGCCTCGTCCTCCCCCCTTCCGAGAGAAACAGTCCTGGTCGACGAAGACACGGTATACGTTTCAACATCAGTCCCGTTTCCCTCGTCTCTTGACAAGCATCATAAGACTTTCTCGTGATCCGTCGATACCGTACATCCAAATAATCCCTCCACTCCTCGAAGAATCGCAGAAGAGGTCAGGGTTGTGTCCTTCCACTGAACCATACTCACTGCTCATTTCAGACCGCTCTTCTTTGATTTCTAGTAGTTTTTCTAGCTTGATTCTGCTCCACTGCTCTGGGCTTGCTTGTGGTAGAGCAATTGCAACTACTTCGAAAGCTCTAAGATCCGACATTGGTCTTGACAGTTTGATCGTGTTCGGATAAGGGCCCCGAATCGTCTTGTATGGAGACGCCAGGTCTCCATATCTTGCTGTCTTACTCGTAAGCTCTTGCTTCTGATCGTTTGCTGCATATCTTCACCTTCTCTTGTCAAGCTTGAAGCTCAGGTAGAGTTTGCTCCCCGTGCGTTGCTCTCCCAATGACAGGTGGTTTGCCCAAAGGAATTCCATTGATCGCCAACAAGATGATGGGAGAGCCGAGGAAGCCCGACAAGTTGGAGAAGGAAAGGGGTTCGAGCGAGGACGCGGATTCTCTGAACAGCTTCAAGATCAGCAGGTCGTCTCGGGAGCCTCCGACGCGCGAGTCTTCTAGCAGCTCGGGGGTAGAAGTGAAGAAGAAGAAGAAGAAGGCAATCCTGACGCCCGTGATGGCCCTGGAGATCTACTCTTACCGCAACGTGGACACGGAGAACAAGACAGCGGAGAGCTGCGAGGTAGCAAACAAGTACGGGATCAGTTCTAAGTCCGTCAGGGACATCTGGGACAGGAGGACGTGGGCGAGGATCACGCGGCAGATGTGGACGAGGCAGGAAAAGGAAGACTACGACAAGACCCATCAGCGAGGGCCAGGCCGCCCATCGGGCACCAAGGATTCGAAGCCGAGGAAGAGGAGGATTCAGAGCAAGCGCCAATCCAAGGTCAAGGCAGCACAGCTCGCCTCAACTTCGCAAGGTGATTGTGGTTGTATGCCGGTGGGCATTTCTGATGGTGGTTGAGCAGAGGCGGCGGATGTTTTCAACTCCTCCAAGTCGAGGAAGAGGAGGAAGGTGAAGAAGACCGAGGAGGAAAGAGAGTCGCCGAGGCCGGCAAGCGACAAGTCCGGCGGGAACGGATCGTCGGACAACAACAAAGAGAGCACCGACTTAGGGCAGAACAGCGAGGAAAGGACGTCAAACTCCTCCCCGTATATGAGCTGCTCGAGCGATGACAAGCAGGGTAGTCCACAGTGGGTAGCGGCCCCCACCGCTGAAGGGATCCAGGATTACATGCAGTCACGGCACAGCTCGGAGGAGAGCTGAGCTGGGACGTGGAGCTGGTTGTACAGTTGCGCTGGGATGTAGATAGGTGTATGTCTCTTTGTGTTCATTGCAGGGTGGCCAAGACAAGTTTGAAGTGGGATTGATGGTTATAAAGGATGACATCAGTCGGCAAGTTTGTTAGTGTTAATGCTGTGCCGGAAATCTCCGCTCCCAGTCGTACTGCCAGTACTGGAGCGGTGTCAGTGATGTTCGACATTGGAGTTTCAACAGTTCCATCACCTTGCATGTGTACGGATTCTCGTAGGAATCTGACACAACAGTCACCACAAGTTAGCGTCTGTGCATGCATTTACCTCCATCGGGAGGATGGAACCAAAAGTTGAAGGCAACGTGCCCCTTGTCCATGCCGTAGCTGTGGGAGGGAAGGAGTGAGGAGAAGGGTGCAGGGAGGTGAAATGAGGAGGAAAGAGGATGGAGGGGGAGGAAATATTTGAGGGAAGCATTCATGAGCAGCGGAGGTCAAGGGTTGACGAGCGGAATCATAAGGCGGAAAAGATTCGGGAGGGAGGAGAGGAGGCGAAGGTGGAAGCGATTTGGCACCTGAAAACTTCATGGAACCAACCGGCGGGTAGAAAGAGCATCTTGATCGAACCGTCCGAGGCGTCGAGCTCGCAGTTCTCATGATGAGCATCGAGAAAAAGCGGAAAACTGCGGCGAAGACAAAAATTACTCGAGCAGACGAGGCTTGAGAGAGAAGGAGAGGGGGTGTGGAGGACAAGAAATTGAGCAAAAAGAGAGGGGAGAGGAGAGATGAGAGATGAGAGAGGAGAGAGCGTGAGGATAGATAGGGAGCAGCAGGGGTAGGAGGTTCACTGACTTCTCTTTCACATGCTCTTTGCTCATCTTCGAGTTGACGGCAGAGAAACTGAGCGGCTCCTCCACGTCAACTTTCTCCCTCTTGGACGAAGCGCCGCCCTCCTCCTCCTCCTCCTCCTCCTCCTCCTCCTCCTCCTCCTCCTCCTCCTCCTCCTCCTCCTCCTGCCGCTGCTCCTCTTTTTCTTGCTCCTTTTCTTGCTCCGCCTTCTTGGCCTTCCCTTTGGAAACATTGCTCCCCTTTACTGTGACGAGAGCTGGAGCTGGAGCTTCCTCCTTCTCTCCTTCCTCCTCCTCCTCTGCGGTGAAATGTTGGTCCTATGAACCAGATACATGCATCCTCCTGTCCTACCTTCATCGTCATCATCTGAGGACTTGGCCTCACCAAACAGGCCTCCCTCCTCATCTTCTTCCTCGTCCTCGTCCTCGTCCTCGTCCTCGCTCCCTGTTCAATTCATGTGACATCCTTCAAAGACGCTCTTCACCCTACCGTCCGACAGGTCAGAGGCCTTCGCCGTCAGCATGGCGTCCAGTGCAGCATCAAGGGCCTGAAGGAGAGTCAGACGGCAGCGGAAACAATGCGGATGTGCTTCCTTGTTCGCAAGCTTCAGGCGCTTCTTCGCTCCGCTCTCGCCTGTACCGCCCAGCACGACAAGTTTCAGCGCGCGCTTGCTGCGCATGAAATTTCTCGCTCTCCCCCATCATCCTCCTCCCTCTCTCCCCCGCGCAGACACTGAAGTCTTACCTCGAGCAAGAGCCGCCTCGGCCTCCTCCATCTCAGTCTCAGCCTTCCTCTGCGCCCCCCGTTCAAGGAGTACTCCATCGGCACGACTGTCACCTGCATCTCTTCGGCTTCTGCGACCTTGGGTGCCTACCCGTGGAGTGAGAGGACGGAGGAGGAGCAGGAAGAAACGCACGTTGAGAGGCGAGCCGTCGGCCCTTGTAATCTGCCCTTGATAGCAAATCCTCCCGTTGGGGTGAATGCAGGCGATCGTCCCATGAGTGTACATGCGATCCTGGTTGAGGAGGAAAAAGTGAGAGAGGAGAGGTGAAAAGGATGGCAAAGTTGGAGAGGGGATAGGGGAGACGAAGATGGCGATGGGGAGAACAAGCATGTACAGCTTCATCCGGAGAGAAGAGGGAAAATTTCTTCTTTCCTGAAATGAAGATCTCAGAGTCTTTGACTACAAAATCATATTGATTGTGATCAAGAGCTCCTGCCCCTGCCCCTGCCCCTCTTGCTGCTACTTTCATGCCTTCATCGTTGTGATCATATCGTTTCGTCGTCATCGCTGCTACATCCTCCTCTCTTACCTCTCAGCAGGACGTACAAGTTGTCATGGTAATCTGAAGGGAGTTCTGCATCAGGCACGCAACCTGACACCATCATCTCTACCATGATGCAGGCCAGAGGAAGATTTGTCTGCATTGTTTCCCATCCAAAGGTTGTAGCTACATGGGACCAGGTTGCCCATAATGTCCGGCCTGGCACCGTTTGCACCATCGAAGTGCACATGGATGGTACCTTACCTCAGGGGAAAATCGTTCTTCAGCTGAAGACCAGCGTGAGTTCAAGATGGGGGAAATAAGGCAGGGGTCGAGCAAGGAGGATGAATTTCTCTTCATCCTCCAGAAAAGTGGGAGGAGGCAAAGAAATCCGCAAGAGAACATGGAGGAGCGGGTGGGTGGGGAAGGGGTAAGGAAAGGAGAAGTGATGGAGGAGGAGGCTGCACTGAAGAGTTGCAAGCTCACAACATCTCACCAATGTGACAGGTTCAGTCATCACATCTGGCCTCCCCTCCTCGTCCACCTCAACCTGGGAAGCAAATCTGTCAGCTGCGATGTCGCAAGCATCAACCCAACCTGTTGTGTCGTGAGGTAGAGAGTGTCGTCGCCAGATGCAAATCGCTTCAGGAACTCTGAGAACAGCATGGTCCTCTTGTTTCCTCTGAAGCAATTATCAAACCCAGCACTCCCTCATCCCGCCCTCGCCCTCCTCACCTTCCGTATCCAGAATCATTGCTTTCACGGTATTCGACGTCGACAGAGCAGGTGCCTGCGATCTTATCGCTGCACTGATGTTTAGTCTCCGACTGAAAGCAGGAGCAAGCTGGTACAGGTAACCGTCGTCCCATGCTTCGAACTTGGATCCTCGCAGCTTCCCTAGCAAAATGCAAGGCTTGCGTGCTTTGATGTAGCTGCCGAAGACATGTCAAAATCTGCAAAACTCATGGGTGAAAGCACTTCTCAAAGAAGTCTTGGGGTGATGTCTTTTCAATCTCCACCTCAGGGATTACTTGAAGCTGTCATGCTTTATCATCACAATGACGCTCGCTGTATCCACCAGTTTCCTCACCTTCCTTGCTTTTTTGCCTCGTGTTTCTGGATTCCTTGTGTGTGCAAAGATGACATTTGGCAAACACAACAAGGAGGAAGCCACCTGAGGGAGAATCCGTGATATCCATTCTCCATTGCGCCTTGTACCGATGTAGCCGCGCCTAGCAGGAGGAGCAGACTTGGGATTCCAACCCCCTTGCCGAAGAGCTTCCTGAAGTCTGGTTGAACAATGGTCCCTCAAGGAAATTGATTGTGTTCCCGTTGAGATTGCTGAAAGAGAATGTTTCAAATCGCTGACCATCGTCCCTTCTCTTCTGAGTTCCTCTCTTCACTTCTTTCTTCTTCCTATCTTCCTCTTCCACACCATCATTCTTCATTCCCTCTTCATGTTCGCGTCATCGCAACTTCTCCCTCCGTTCTCTTGTCGCCATGCGCGTCAACAACTATCCCTCACAACCATGGTAGGCTACCCCCTTTCGATACGCCCCGCCGCCTCATTTTCATGTGGATGAGCAGTCTTACATTGAACTCTTTGACTAGAATCTATGAAAAATATCGATGAGATATTCAAGTTTACTAGTAATATTTCATTTTTCGTCCATTTGCCTCTCAATTTTGTTCAATTTTTTTTTTAACCTTTTACGCATTCTTTTTGTTTTGGTAGAAGCCACCGTTGGTTGGAGTAGTACCCCTACTTTTCCGTGTTGTGGAGGGGTACTTCCGACGACCCGAAGGGGGTAGCCATGACATGTCTGAAAATGGAGATCAGGGGGTGGGTACGAGAAAAGCAACAAAGGGTGGGTAGGAAATAACCTTGAAGTGACGAGAAAGGGGGTAGGGTATGAACCCTAGATGACAGGGGGTGGTTATTCCTGTTATTATTAAAATCGTCGCTCCTTGCTCCTGTTCTTTCATCCGGCCCTGCCTTCTACTTCAAGCCCCCCCCCCCCTCCCTCGTCTCCTGGTCCTCTCTAGCTGATCTGTGCCTTGTTCTGTTGGTACCTCCTTCAACATCCTCCTCGCATCTTCTTTCCTAACCTCAAACTCTTGAACTCTTCCGACTTGTCGTCCTGCGCCTGGTATCTCTACGCCTTTTGTCGTTCTGCTGGGATACGGTTCCATGGTGTTTTGACCCTACGAGAATGGGTTGCAATATCTCTAGTGCAGTCCCCGTGCAAGGGGATGAGGACGGGGGGATGGTGAAAGCTTGTCGGAAGCTGAGCGTCTCAAGGGAGATCAAACTGAAGAGGATCTTCGACGAGATCGACACTTGCGGCATGAAATACCCAGCGACAGGGGTGGTGAATCGAGACAAGGTCCTCAACAACAAGGAATATTTCGAGTCTTCCTTGCTGAGCATCGGACTCCGGCCCATCAAAGTGCCAAGGACTGACGTCTCGTTCGAGTACTTCAAGACCGCGGCCCAGGTCGAATGCTCTTTGATGTCAACATGGAGGTGGGAGAATGGCTGCTGGAGAGAGGATCCAAATCTAGCCAAGATGAGGAAGGACTCTTCAACTTCTTAACATGGGTGGTTGCAACATTTTTGGTCACCTGGGGGCCAGCTTCTAGCCATCGAGCCGACACCGAGCAGTGATGAATAACCAACTAGAAGAATCATTTGAGCTTGACTGGCTGCCCGCTCTCAGCAGACTTCATGATCGCATCAATCGTTCGCTGGGTCTGGAGAGCGATCTTCGGCCAGTAGTCTTCGAGTTGCCTTGCTGGATATGCATGTCAGATGTAGGCATGTGAAACAGCGCAAACACGTACTCCTCACGATCTTGCTCATGCACTCCACCATGCGAACTTCCTGACAACAACCTCCGGCCTCATGCTTTGATGACGTCTGCTCGACGATCATGCCGCTATCTTTAAATGCCTGCTGGAAGGTGATTCGAAGTTTTGATGCACCACAGAGCAGCTATACCGATGTGTTGACGATGAAAGAGGAGGATTCCTCACTAGCGTTGAGGACGAAATCATCCAGACGGATCGAACTCTTCGTTCCTGGTGGTTGAACCATCTCAGTGGCAGGCAGAGGCCTCAAAGGAGCCGACAGCTACCGGCGATCTCCAGTGTCTGGCGGCAGTTGGTGTCGAAGCCGCAGTCCAGGGAAGCAAACCTCCCGTCATCGTAGAAGAGAGTAGCGTTCAAGCTCTTGATGACTCCCTCTGAGTTCCTCTTGTGAGCTACCGCATACACCTGGTAGTCCTGTAAGGACACTTCGCCTCCAATGTGAATCTCAGACTTCATTGGGCTCCTTTTGGAAGGCCCAGACGATGGCTCTCACGTTGTACCATCCTAAGTCACCTGCGCGCCTCGTCACCTCGAGCGATCAGCACGCGCAGGAATCCTTGTCACCTACGCATCCCAGCCCGTCCAGGTTGCTCTTCATGCGGATGTTAGTCCGGTCGAACTCCTCTCCCCCGAAGAACGTGAAGGATGTCACGATCCGAACGACCTCGCCCATCTGCTCGCGTCAGAGCATGCAGAGATAGATCGGCACTGCCTCACCATGTCCTGGTTGTCCACCGCCTTCCTCAGCACTGGGACCCGGACGTGATGCATCCACATCACCTGCACGGAGCAAGTGAACACACGTGGTCCATTCCATCAAGTGCATGCTTCTACCCCGTCCATGAATTGTACGTTGTTGTGTTCACAACAGGCGATCATTTCTTCTACTTCTTGAGCATTCATCCCAACCTGAACACGGCATCACGGGGTCCACACATCGTTCGAACTTCACACTTACCGGCTTCTCACAGAGGATATGCTTGCCGGCATCTGCTGCTTTCTGTACCCATTCTTTGTGCATGGATGTTGGGAGTGGAATGTACACAACATCCACCTTCCCATCCCTCAGGACCTCCTCGTAGTTTCCGTACCTTGCTACCTCACTGGGGATCTGGTTCTGTTCGCACCATGACTCTACCCTCTCCAGCGTCCTGCTCCCTACGGCCACTAGTCTGGAGCCTCCGGCTCTGGAGATAGCTCGCACAAGCTTCCTGGCAATGTCTGCCGTCCCCAGGATGCCCCATCCTACTGCTTTCGCTTCTTCGGCCATGATGAAAATTCGACCTGCCGTTACAGATACTTTCAAATGTAACGGAAACTCGGAGTGCCTCCGGGCCCGGTCAAAGTCCCGGCGTTCGATCGATGTTCCGTAAAAGGAACAATTATACATTGTTGTAAAGACCCCCCTGTAAATTAGTTTTTAGAAGCCTTCTTTTAGGTACATATTCCTGATTTGTTACATGTCTTCCTACAAAGTTTAAAATATTTGGTACATAATTTACAACTATAAGCTAGGAGTCATCCAAGTTACGGCGGTCAATATGTACTGAGGATCCGGGACTGTGTCAAAATATATTTTTATGGTACAAACATGGGATTTTAACATTATTTATAACTCATTATAGCTGAAGCTCGTTTATGCATCCCAAACTCCTGGTACACCTGTCCTCAGTATTCTTATAATTTAGTTATAAGTACTTTTAGGGACTTTTAAACCTCGTTTACAACAGTAATAAGGGTCGTCACATCTAAGGGTAGAGACGTCTAAAAATGCTCAGAGCGGCTGCGGCGATCACTGCGCTATGCGCGGCACCAGCGGCTGGATTCCTCCTTCCAAGCACTCCTTCCTCCCTTGCTCCTGCCGCTCCGACTTCCTCTGCCCTCTCTGCCCGGAGCTTGAGAGGCCCAGGACATGCCGGTATCTCCCTAGCTCCAGTCCGAGGTGCGTACTGTAGTCTATGTGAGGAGTTGGGGCTAGCAGATGGTGGTGGGATCTTCACATGGGGAGGAGGAGATGGTGTTGGAGAGTGAGAGCGAGTGGGGGGAGGAGGGATCCTCGTGTAGAAGCAGATTTGAGCGCGTTGTTGGAGTATACTGACCTTGCCTGTGCCCCACCAGGCAAGGCCATGCGTCTGAGGATGGCGACTATGACGCCAGATGGAGAGATGCAGCTGACTGAGGAGGAGTGTGAGAAGCTGAGCCTTCCTCCCAACTCTGTCATCCCAGCCAACAGCGTCGACGAGGTCAAGCAGAAGTTGCAGGACATCGCGGACGACGAGATCCGCAAACTCGCCCGTCAGATTGGCACCAAGCCAGCCGAAGAGCCGTATCCTGGTGAGTACGATGATGAGAAGGTTGATGCTGGGAGAACTGAGAAGGAGGACGGGGGAGGAGATGGAGGATTGAAAGGACTGAGAAGGAATGTATTAGTGGCAGTGGAATTTGAGAATTTGCTCTGATTGCCAGGAAGCCAGTGACGGGGCTTTGCAGGTTACTACGAGGACGTTCAGCGTCTTGGACTCGAGGACGACTTCTTGAAGATCTCCTCAGTCAACCCAGCGTCGCTCTACGGACCTGGCGGCAAGCCATATGCGCCATGGATGGTCGGAAAGGTCAATGAGGGGCCGTCGAAGAAGCGTGAGTGATGATGATGACGAATGTGGAGGAGGAGGAGGAGGAGGAGGAGGAGGAGGAGGAGGAAGAGAACAGACAAGAATGCTGATGATGATGCTTATGAATCTGATTATCATGACATGATGATGTTATGTTGATGATAGTTATGATAACCTTTGCATCAACCGTATCTGATCTTTGGCCTGCCACCTGAACAACATCGCGCTTCGGAGATTCTAACTTGGGCCCTGATACCTGCATGCAGGAGTGGACAAGCGTTCCAAGGAGGACAGGGAGTTCGACTTCACAGCGAGAGGTCAGGAGCTGGGAGGAGCAGGAGGAGGAGGATTCCAGGCTGCCCTGCTTGGAGACGAGGTCAAGCTCACGTTCACTGTGGGAGAGGAGGCGAACAGCAAGGGCTACGTCATCACCAAGAGACCGGGAGGATCTGCCGACGACGCGTACCAGCTGGTTGCGGACTACCTCACTCCTGGAGCGAACCTTGCTGCTGGACAGGTGAAGGAGGAGGGAACCCGCCTGGGCTGACGCTGCTTTCAGCTCAACGGCAAGTACAGCTACGTGGATGGTGCTTCTAGCCCCGGGGTGTGGGTGTACAGAGTGCAGGTAGGAAGAGAGAAGGAGGGGAGAGAACGGTATGAGAGGAGCGAGACAGGGAGCAGAGTAGAGGGAGCAGGGAGAGGGGAGGAAGGAGCAGGGAGCAGAGAGGAGCTGTACTGGGCGGGGCGTTCTGACATGATGTGTAGGAGGAGGATGTGAGCGGAAAGAAGACTGTACTCTCGCAGACCATCATTGACATCCCCTCGAACACCGACAAGGTCAAGGCGCTGGTTGCTGCTGCTGTGCTCGGCGGTGAGTTACTTACTGAGAAACTTCGTCCTCCTCCCTCTCCCTCTCCCTGCCTCTTCCCTCCCTCCTCTCTCCTCTCTTTCTCCCTCCTCTCTCCTCCCTCCTCTCGTTCTCCTCTCTCCTCTCTTTCTCCCTCCTCCCTCCTCCCTCCTCCCTCCTCCCTCCTCTCCTTTTCGTCTCTCCTTCTGCTCGTTTCCTCTTGGGCCTCCTTATCATGGTTTACAGGTGCCCTCACCTTCCTCACCTTCCTCGGAGTTTCCATGGACCCTCAAAACGGCATCAACTAGAAAGATCCTGCGAGAGGAGGAGAGGAGGAGAGGAACAAGGGAAGGGGGCAGGAGGAAGGAGAGGAGGGGAAGGGAGAGGTCAGTCCTGCTACTTGCACTTGATTGGAGTGAATAAACCACATGCTTCTATGAGGATCAGCGTTGGAAAGGTCAAGGAGGAGCAGGAGAGAGCAGGTATGGTGAGATGGGGTGGGGGAGGAGTATGAGAGAGGAGGGAGAGGGAGGGGAACAAGAGGGGGGAGAGGGGAGAGCGAGGCAGGTAGGAGGGAGGACATGAAGGAGAAAGCAAGGAGAGGCAGGACGGCGAAATCAGCAGACTCAGTTGTGCGAACCAGGAGGAGAGGGTAGAGACAGCAGCAGCATGAAACATGGATGGACGGCAACGAGTGTTTGAGTGGAAGGGGAGGGGGAAGGTGAGAGCAGCAGGGGGCAGCAGGGAGTGTTTCAGTTCAACTTCCTTCACATCCAATCATCGTAAGTCCCTGAACTCTCTGCTCCTACCCCCGTCCCTCCCCGCGAGTAAGCTTGATCGTTGAAGTACTCCCACTCCTCCTCATACCCCCTGCTCCTCGCGGGGGATGAGGACAAAGAACTCGTTCTTCCTCCCCACTGCCCCTCCATCTTGCCGCTGAAGTAGCTTCCCAGCCGCCCCATCCTCTTCCCGACGCCCGGGCGATCGTACCAGTTTCCCTTGGAAGCCTGTACTCGAGCTCAGAGAAAAGTATGGACGGGGGAGGGAGAGGAAGGAAAGAGAGGAGGAGAAAGCGATAGAGACAGAGAAAGAGGAGGGAGAGGGAGAGGAGGGGAGGTGGAAGGGAGAGGAGCAACGCGGGGGCCCACCTGCAGCAGGTTCATCATCCTCATCTCGAGCTTCTCCGCTTCCTCCTCATCCTGCTTCGACACGGAAAACTTCCCCAGGATCCTCTCCTCCACTACCATCGTCGCAAGCTCCGTCTCCCCGGCATCAAGGGAGGCTCGGAGGACGGCCAGGTAGAGTGGGCCGGGGGGGCGGACGCTGTGGGATCGGAGGAGGCTGATGACGTCGAGGAGGTACTGGGTGAGGATCGACCCCTGTAGCTTCTCCATGCGCGAAAGCAGCTGGCAGGTCGTCCTGCTCGGTGTTACCCTGCTCCTGAGCATTAGGCCCAGTACCCTCAGCGCCTCCTCCTTGCTGCCCCTCTTGGAGCACTGGAAAAGGACCGAGTCGAAGGTCCTGGAGGACACAGGGGAAGACGCCTCTTTCACGATCTCCTCCAGCTTCTCGATCGCCTCCTCCACCTTCCCCATGCTCGTGTACGCCTTGAGCATCTGCGTGCTGACCACCATGTCGACCTCCACCCCGAGCTCTTCCATCTTCCTCTTCACTTCCACCGCCTTGTCCGCGTACCCGGCGTTGATGAAGGCCTCGATCAGCGAGGAGAAGGTCATGGCGTTAGCCTTGATCCTCATGTCCTGCAGCAGCTTCATGATCCCCTGCGCCTCGTCCACCATCCCCTTGGCCGCGTACCCTGACATCATCGTGTTCATCACGAACAGGTTCGGAACGATCCCCTTCCTGCGCATCTCCTCGAACAGCGCGCTCGCCTCCTTCATTCGCCTCGCCCTCACGCACGCCAGAATGCAGTAGGAGTAGGACAAGAGGTTCGCCTCCACCCCGTCCTCCTCCATCCTCTGCAGGAGCCTCGTCGCCTTCCCCCACTGCAACTTCTGCGCCAGCCCGTACAGGATGCAGTTGTACGAGTAGGCGTTGGGCGGGATCCCCAGCTCTTCCATCTCCCCCAGCAGCCTCTCCGCCCTGTCAAACTGCCCAGCAGCCACACACGCCTTGACAAGGGTCGTGTACGTGATCTGGTCGGGCTTGCAGCCAGCTCGGCGCATCTCCAGCAGCATCTTGAAGGCCTTTTCCACCTTCCTCCTCCTCGCGTACGCGTTCACCATGATATTGAAAGAGACTCCCGTCGGCTGCAGCGAGATGCACAGCCCGGCCTCCGTCGCCGGCGTCAGGAAGTTAGCGAATCCTTCCCCCCGCACCCCCCGCAGCGACGAGAAGAGCGTCTGAGCTGCCGTCAGGTTCCCAGCTCGCACGCACGCCTGCAGAAGGGCGTTGATGACGCGGATCGAGGGGGCGGGCCCACCCTTCACCATACCGTTGAGCGTCTCGAACGCCGCCTCCAGCTGCCCGAGCTGCCCGTAGGCCTTGATCAGCGTGCCGTAGCAGTGGACGGAGGGACGGAGGGACGGGGGGTGCTGGCTGCTGGAGAAGTAGCTGAAAGCCTCCACGGCGGAGGCTGGGCGGTCGCAAAGGATGTAGGAGCCCATGATGATGTTGAGCAGCTTCGAGTCGATCTCGACCTCGTTCTCTTTGAGCTCCTTCACGATGCTCTCGATCGCGCTCAGGTTCCCCTGCTTGCCGTACGCCAGCAGGTCGAACGAGCTCCTCTCCAGCAGCACGCTCCTCATCGTCGACGAGTTCAGCTCTGCCCCAGCTCGGCGGAGAACGCCGTACTCCGACGCCGCCACCGACACCGGCGTCCCCATCAACCCCCGCCTGCCCAGCTTGATCCTGAGCTGGTCGACCCCAGCAGAGGACCTGTCCTGGCGGGAGAGGAGGAAGAGGTGGGAGACGCTGAAGGAGAAGTTAGCAAAGCTGTCCTGCACGAGGGCCACGAACACCCGAGCTGCTGACTCGCTGGGGAACTGCCCGAGGGTCAGGTGGGGGGTGTAGTCGAACAGCTTCGACCCCCTCCTCACGCACTGCGGGAAGATCTCCGCCGCCTGTGCCTGCAGCTCCAGCACACAGTCCCGGGACTCCCCGACGGGGACGAGCCAGACGGAGGCGCTGCGGTTGTGGTAGACCTTCACTGTCAGCTCCATCCTCAGCTCGAAGGGCTCCGTTCCCTCCAGCGCCTCCAGGAGGAGCGAGGACGCGACGGCGAAGTCTTCGCCGCGCACGAAGGGGCGGAGGAGGATGAGGTGGGGAGGCCACTTGTCCACCTGCCGGTCGTGAACTTGCCTGATTTTCTGCACGACGTCCCATCCTTTCCCATCCGGGAGGACCGCGAGGGACGTTCCTAAAGTGCTCCTCTTGCCCTGCAGGGTCGACGCCTCGCTCCCCGTCCTCGCCTCGGCCCGGAGGTTCGCCCCAGCTCCGCTCGTCGTGAGGTAGGGAATCTTGTCGGTCGGGCTGGCCTTGATCACATCCATGGAAGACTGTTCCCAGGCCCCCAAGTTGACCTTCCTCGCCACCTTGATCCTGATGTTGCTGTCCATCCTCGTCCGCACTGCCGACAGGATCCCCTCCAGCGTCGTCTTGGGCCACATCCCGTTACCAACGCTCGACTGCGTCGCCACGATGCGGTCGCCCACACGGAGGAGGCTGCTGGCCGCTGCCGTCCCCTCAGGCATGATGCTCGCAACCTCCACCGCCGTCGTCCCGTCCTCCGCTGCCACCTGAACGAGCTTGAGCCCATAGGGGAGCTCGCCATCGAAGAGGTTCTTGTCGCGGAGAAAGCGCTTGTCCTTGCCCGGGAGGGGGAGGGAGACTTCGAACGTCTCCGTCGCCGTCTCCTGGATGCGGATCCGCGCCTTCTCCACCGAGATGAGAGCACGGGGGAGGTCGACCCTGCTAGTGTCCCGCGCGTCCTGCGAGTCGAAGCACACGAGCGAGGACAGGACGGGATCTCTCTCGAACCTGATCTTGATCTTCTTCCTCAGCAGGCCTACGGAGTGAACAGAAGCCATCACACCCTCCATAGTGTTCTTCTCCCACATCTGATTGCCCATGGTCGCCGCTGTAGCCACGATCCTGTCCCCCCGCTGCACCCCAGCCTCTCTCGCCGATCCCTCGTTCACCGCATCCACGTACACCCCGTAGCCCACTACCTCCTTCAGAGTCAGCCCGATCGGTATCTCAAGCTCAACGTCGTAGGTGTACTTGCCCTCCGCCGGTGCGAGCTCCTCCTCCTCCTCCTCCTCTCCTTCCCCCTTGCTGCTCGTGCCCTTGCTCTGCGAGGCCCTCGCCTGCTTCCTGAAGATCCTCTCTGCTACCTCTTCTGCCTCCTGGAAGGGCTGACCTGGCATGATCATTCTCACTGAAGCTGCCCGTCTCAGGCCTGTTCGATGCGCGTTGAACATCGAGCACCTGAATCCTCCTCCTCCTCCTCCTCCTCCTCCTCCTATTAATGAGCTTGCCCGTCCAGTCACATCGAGGCTGTGGAGGAACAGATGAACAGGATGGAAATGGCTCAGGAGGAAGAGGAACAACAAGCCCTTGCGGGGGGTCGGAAACATCTTCCTTCTCATCGCCGCCGCTTGTCCCGCAGCAACCTTCTCCTCATTCAGACCTCGTCCTAGCCCGTCGTTGCCAGCCTGCAAAGAGGTTAATAACAATCAAACAAGCAAGAAAACGATTGTAGATCATCTTTGCTTTCTTTCCGTGGAACAGCTATACGTCACATGGTAGAAATTACAACTATTTCAATTTCGTGTATTGCAAACATACAAATGAGTCGGTCCAGCTCTGAATTCTCTCAGATCAATGCCTTGAAAATATGCTCTTTTTCCTTTTCTTCGACTACAGGTAGAATTTTCCCACCATGCGTTGATTTGCTTTGGGAGTTCCCACATCAAATAACTACCAGCTCAGGCTTGAGTTTCCCAGGTTGATGAGAAAGGGGATCTTACACTTTTTGTTCAAGAATCTATCTCCTTCCTCAATATCTCATCTCCTCCGTCCTTTACAACCCATGGCCCGTTCCTCAAATACTTGCTCCTTGTCAACCCCTACCTCATGCACATACAAACTTCTTTCTCTCCTTCCCATTTCAAACAATGCATCCTTCCTCCTCTTCATTCATTTTCCCGTTATCCTCTCTCACGTTTCCATCATCTTCCTTCTTGTCCTTCCCTTCCCCTCGCCTTTCCACCCTTCAGCCATTTCCCCCCCGGCATTCGCTGTGACCCCTTTCATGACGCACTGTTTGCAGCACCCACCCCCTAGCCGACAGCTTTCAACCCCTTGTAAACAGAAACGCCCCCCACAAAAATACTATACCCCTTCTTACATCAGTATTCTTCCCTTAGATGACCCGGTACTTTTCGTAATTGACAATCCTGTACCCCAACTTTTACATAAAGTGCTTGTTGACGGGGTGAAAGTACTACCCCTACCCCCTCATACCTCACCACCCCCTTTATATGGCTCCATTCCTTTACAACATCAACCCCCGTGGAAAATGGACCCACAAAAAAGTACCCCTACCCACTCAATATAATCGATCTGACAAGTACCCACCATTTTCTGAAGGTATTTTGTAGTAAATACCCCCTAGGAATTGCGCCCAAACTTATATCTTTGCTCAGTACCCCTATGATTGTTACCCCTACCCCTTCTCCAATGAGGCCTGACGAGGAGGGGAAAACAAGTTCCCCTCAGAATAAAACCGTTGAAGTCCGCAGGAGATGGATGACCAGTAGACGGCTCTTGGACATGGCGAGGGCCCGGGCTGGGATGGCGGCGGCAGTTGGGGGAGGAGCGGCGCTAGTGCTGGGCATGTTGGTGGCATTCAGCTGGAGAGGAAGAGAGACTGTCCTGGGTGAGCGCCTTTGGTCGCCTAGAGGGTATGGATACCGGCCACAGTACTACGGCGAGGTGATGAGATGGAGGAGGAGGATGAGGGGAGCTTACTTTATCTCGTGCAGCCGTATCCCCTGTGGGAAGACGGGATGACTCCGATCTATCCTGACAGTTACAGCGTGCAGAGGGAGTATGCCAGGTCGCTCTTGCCTTATGCGCTGCAGCAGGGATGGGCCCAGGAGCAGTACAGGCGCAAGGTGGAGGAGAAGCGTGCAGAGAGGGATCTGTATGCCTACATCCTGGAGAGGCAGAGGAGCTCATGGAGGAGACAGAGAGAGCTATGGCTGGCGACGCATGGCTACTACATGCCTGAGGAGGCTAGATATTCACGCTTCGACCCTGTTGCTGACGTGATGGACACGTTCTCTTACTATCCTCCTTCCATGTACTACTTCAAAGATTCCAAACCGTCAGCCTCGTTGAAATCCAAGCCAGCAAAGAATGATCCGGTAGAGAACAGCTATCTTTTTGGCGCTTTCCTGCATCACGATAACACTGCTTGCCTCTAAACTCCCATGTTTTCACAGCACCAACTCCCATGTTTTCTTGCGCTCCTTCTATGACTGCTTTACTAGGTTACAAAGCAGCAACTGTTCTCGGTGAAGGATCTCAACGAAGATTCGTATGCTGAGGCACTAGAGGACCCATCGCATCCCTCAGGCCCTTGGGGCGTGTGGGTCGATCCTGGATCGAAGGCCAAGGTAAGAAGTGCAGGTTGCTTCCAAGGAAAGTGATGGGGAGACAGAAATCGAACAGACACGACACAGGTCACGACATCGATCTCGGGCTACCGCATCTCTCCAACTCCAAGGGGGCAAGGAAGGTTCTCTTCGTCAGCGAATCCTCCCTGAGACGCTGACGTTGATGGCGTCAGCAGCCATCAGGATCGACCAGCGCCGCGGTTGACCTGGGCCTCCCTGCCTTGACTGCATCGGGCCAGAGGCGAAACTCAGCCAAAGTGACATTTGATGTCTCGGCATCCTTCCGAACTGACAGATTGACAACGCCAGCACTCCTCCTCCGGCGCAGTTGACCTCGGCTTCCCGGCACCCTCCCACTCCCAGGGCAAGAAGGATCAGGTGCGAGGATAGCCATTGCGTCCATGGTTTGCTGACAGCTGGCGTTCAGAAGGCTGGGAACTTTGTTGGAAGCTTGAAGGAGAGCATGACAGGTGAAGTGTATCCGCCGCCTCCCGGCATGCCTGACCTGCCGGCCATGGCCAGGAGGCGAGTCTGAGGCGGAGGCGCTAATGGACCCCAGCCATCCCTCGGGCCCCTGGGGAACTTGGGTCCAGCCGTCATCGTCAAGGTGCTACCTTGCTGTCTACTGGCACATCCGTGAATCTGACGGCTCCGATGCTTCACCAGTGCTGTCCAGACAAGCACACCCAACTTCGCTATGCACTCACTGCTGGACTCCAACGATGCTTGAGGACTCGCCGCCGTCCAGACCTCGATTGTAACATGACGAGCTGACACATAACTAGATTTTATCTAGCGAAGCTTTCGATACTTCCCCTAGGTTGCATTGTTTTTGTTGATTTCATTAGAATTTTGTTCTCCATCAAGTGGGCTGTGGCAAAATCAACTGCTGCTGGTCCGGAGTGTCAATGACCGATCTGATTGACAAGATGGGCGTTGAATAACGTCTGAAAGCTCGGACATCAGTGAAGTGCCAGGTAGCAACTTCATCTCAGAGCACATGTGGCAAACACCAGCCCCACAAATACGCTCGACTCGGACTGTGCTTCTCTCGGAAACCGCTGTCGCAATTGCGACATTCCAATCTTGAGTAAAGCGACTCATTCTCACTTGCATGTAATTGTTCAATCTATCATGGTGAGTCGTCGATCTGTGTATACTGCCTGGATCACTGCAGAAATGCAGGAGCACATAACTTCTAACGAAGCTCAAGTGCACGGAAACTCCCTGCATCCCTCGTTGTGGATGGTGATCGTTGACCTTCAAACTAGATCAGTTTGTCGTTTTTATTAGTATCCCCAAGAGTATGGCAATCGAAACAATAATTACAAGCAAGTAAAGCTAACTTTCAACACTGACATTGTTTGTCTGATGTGGTTGGTGGTTTGATCAGGGTAGCTATGGCGCTTTCGCGTTCAGACCATGTCAACATGCTCTAGAGCATCTCTGAACAACTCCCCCATCTCTGCACTCCATTTTTCATGGCCCTCCATCATCATCGATTCCTTCAGCGCTTCATCCCACGGCTGTAGATGGCTCGAAATGTCTATGCTCTGAACTGGTGAACAGATCTGCTCTTCTGCAGAGGACAGGGTGGGCGACTCAGCCAAACTATCTACAGACGCGCTCTCGCGATCCTCAAGGAGCTGTGATGGACTTGTTCGGGTACGTGAGTATGGCCACTTGCGGATTCCAAGGCGTCGGCAGACGTGTTTCATGGTTGTGATAGAGAAGCCCTATGAAAGCAACGTCAGAAGCTCAAGTTCATTCGCTCGCCCGGAGACTCACCAGCATGTCGGCAGCATCTTGCTGCCGCATAACGAAGAGACTTTGAATGAAATCTGCCGTGAGTAGGGCAGTTTTCTTCCTCCTCGATGTTAGGATGGTTTGGTACGCGTGCATGATGTCTGAAGAGAGCTTTTTGGAACTGGATAACTTGCAGCACAACACGGACGAAGGAAGGGCTGAGATGTGAACAAGAAGGTGTCGCTCAGAAGAAACAGCAAGATCTGACGATAGCGCAGGAGGAGAGGGCGGGAGGGCGGGAGGGCGGGACGGGAGCGTTGGAGGGGAGGGCGGGACCCAAGTTATGAGGGGCGGCTGGCACAGTTCGTATTTTATATTACATTTATCTATTATTGTAAATTGGGAAAAAAAGAAATCTCGTTGAATCTCCTTGCCAGGAATTCTCTTTCGAGGGTGGGTGGTATAGTAAGAGGGCCTCGATTTCATGGGGGGTGGTTGGAGGAGGGGGTGGTCCGGAGGGGGTGAAGGGTCCATAGCGCAGCCTGTTTGTGATACGTGGCACGACCGATCGAAGGACGAGAAGGGAATGCGTACCAGACAGCTTCTGTACCATGAAAATATATATAGCCGACATTGGTACAAATTGAAAAAAACAATATCACTTTTAAAATGATGCAGTACCGCTCACATCCTGAGATATGAGCGATTTTTAAAAGTGTAGTTGGCCTCGGCACCGTCGGAGTTTCAATCGCCAGACTGGCTGGCACGTCCCAGTGGACCTGACTGCCACTAGTGACCTATTGGCTCTGAACATATGATCTCACTTATAGAAATCTGCAAGTTGACCCCTACAGGGGCCGAGATCCGTGTTTGAGGCCCAGCAGTGCCGAAGGGGCACGGGGTCGCATCTGGTGCAGTATTCAGCGACTCCTTGAGGCCTCATATAGCGGCGACCTTTTGTGACCGTACCATTAGGCTGGGGGGTGCCGGGTGCGACCTCTACCCCCTCCTCCTACTGCTTCCCAGCACCTCAGTACCCGGTACCCTGCTAGGCTGTCCACTGAGTCAAAGGGGCGGAATTGCGGCGATCCACTTTTGCTCCTGTGTCGTGCTTTACCGGGGGGGGCAGTAGTAAAGACATTTACACGAGCTGACCCTGTATCTCCGGGGTATCTCCCCGGGGCCCCTCAGTTTACCCCCTTGGCCCTTGAAGGCTCCAACTTTTTTGATCTTTACTCAAAGTTAACTTAAATCAGAACTCACCGGGGTAATCCTCGACTCTCCTGATTGTCCTCGTACTGATCTTTAACTTAACTTGCCTTTGAGTAAAGAGTCAGGTAATCATGAGCACTCATGATCAGCCTCATGACTGAGTCAGTCACCGTTCTGAGTCAGCTCTGCCACGCGGGCCGCTGGGCCACCAGTACTGAGTGCCACGTACGGTAGTTGAACTCAACTTAGTAACAATTAACCTGATAAACCCGACGTCGGAACTTCGGAACCAGTTGAACAGGAGTCAACTTAGGCCTCCCTCTCCTTCGCGGCGCTGCCGTCATCGTTCAAACGGGTAACTTAACTTTGAGTAAAAGGTTTGTGACCGTACACGGTCTCTCCCGGAGTCCGTCGGGCCCGGAGAGGCTCGGACCGGGTGTTGCCAGTGACACTGTGCCAGGGCCAGAACCTAGAGAGGGAACTTCGGAATGACTAGCCGTTGAACCGTTGTACCAGCGGGACCGGTGAAAGCGACATGGAGGAAGAGGAGATCAGCGAGGCAGGGCGACGAGAAGTGGAGGAGCTCATGCTGGCACTGGCGCGTGAGACGGCGGAGAACATGGAGAGGAAGGCGTTTGTTGCGTCCATGTTGCGATCCGTCCGGGAGCGGGACTTCCCTGAGCTGGTGGCGGCAGCAAGGAAGGGAGGAAGGCTTCGTGTGGAACAGTTCCTCCGGTCGGCAAAGGGCAAAGGCATCCTGCCGCAGGCAGCATGGAACGGAGACAAGGATGCTGTTGACCTGCTGGTAGCGTGTGGAGCTGAACTCCATGCAGTGGACCGAGCAGGATTGAGCGCGCTCATGGCTGCGAGTCACCGGGGACATGCAACTGTCGTGCAGAGCTTGCTCAGGGCGCAGGCGGACATCGAGCAGGGGCTCGCCAACGGAACCACCTCCCTGGTCCTCGCAGCGAAGTTCGGGCACGTGAAGACAGTTGAGGCCCTGCTGGAGGCCTCAGCGCGAGTTGACGTTCAGGTCTACGATGAGAGCGTGCTGTACCTGGCGGCGAAGCAGGGGGATGAAGGGGTGAGCTGAAGAGGCTGCTCGACATGGCGAGCCTGTGGAGGGCTGAGATGCTCCTGCTGCAGGTGGTCAAGAGCCTGTTGGATGCCAAGGCGAACCTCCGCGCGTGTAAGGCCAACGGCTGGACGCCCCTGCACGTGGCGGCGAGGATGGGGCATGGAGGCGTGGTGAGGACCCTGGTGGCGAGGAACGCGAACGTGGAAGGGAAGAACGCGACAGGACAGACAGCACTCATGCTGTCCTGCATCTTCGGGTCGGTCGAGGTCGCACGTCTGCTGATCGACAGCAGGGCGAATGTGAACGCGGCAGACAAGAAAGGATGCTCGGCGCTGAACTCAGCGATGAGCTACGGAAATCTTGACGTGAGAGCGATGTGATGTGTGAAAGGATGATCATGGTGGTGGTGGTGGTGGTGGTGGTGATGATGATGATGATGTTTTGATGACGATATTGATAATGATGATGACGATGGTGACGATGATGATGATGTTTTTGACGACGATGATGACGATGACGACGACGACGATGATGATTATGCTGACGATGACGATGACGATGACGATGACGATGACGATGACGATGTCAGGTGGCTCGGGTGCTGCTGGAGCACAATGCGGACAGGGAAGGCGTTGAGTTGCATTGAAGTCAAAGGAAGTCTGACGGCCTTCAGTCGACTTTCCCGAAGGATGGTTGGGAGATTTCAAATTCAGAGTGTATATTTCAAGTTAAGAATGTATATTTCAGGTTGAGAGTAGATATTTCATGTCTAGAGTACATCTCCAAGCTCATTCGGAAAGAACCGTCAGGACAGAAGCAAGTTGAGAGGTGGAGGAGAGAAAGAACCCTGAGAGCGTCTCAATCAGAGCAACAGGGGGGAGGACAAGGCACAGCAGCAAACAAGAAGCAAACAAATCCATGAAAACAATCACAAGAAAAGACGAGAACAACAGGATGACAGGGTTTAGTTAGAGTTGAAAGGATGAGAGGGTAACGGAAGCATCAGTAACGGAAGCAACGAGCGAATGATCTGACCTCCGTTGACATCAGGCGCAAGGTCGTCAGGCTGAAAGCCGCCGGTCGAGGCCTGAAAGCCCGCGATGTCACTGGCGAAGACTGCGAGGAAGTTAGGACGATGGCACGAGGAAGAGAAGGAGGAAGAGAGAGCAAGAGCCAGAAGAAGGGGGAAGGGAGAGGGGGGAGAGGAAGAGGAAAGGAGTTGGGAATGAACAAAGGGAAGGAAGGAACAGAAGAGAGAAAACGACGGAACAGGAACAGGAACAGGAGCAGGAGCAGGAGCAGGAGCAGGAGCAGGAGCAGGAGCAAGAGCAAGAAGAGCAGCAGCAGCAGCAGCAGCAGCAGCAGCAGCAGCAGCAGCAGCAGCAGCAGCAGCAGCAGCAGCAGCAGGTTGGGGGAGGGGGATTGGGGTGGGGAAAGAGCTCAACATATGTCATCTTTGCTGGTGGACAGGACGGGGACGGACGACTGGGAGAGGGTCAGGAAGGTCTTGAAGAGGCTGGAAGGACCTCCTGGAGGCTCATAATGTTCTTCCCCGTAGCTATCGTCCTGCTCAGACTGTCACAAGATCAAGAGGGAGAGAGGAGGAGGAAGAGGAGAGAGGGAGAGGGTGGGGGGAGGAGGAGGGGGGAGAGGAAGACGGGGAAACGATGGGGATAGGAGGGAAGTGAGGGATGGAGAAGGAGGAGGGAGGAGGGAGGAAATTACCTCGCCCAGACAAGGCCGTCAGCAGAGCAACCCAGTACCTCCCACTGGTCCTGAAAGTTCGCCCTCCTGCCTGCTTCTCAGCATCTGAAGGGAGCGAAAAGATCGACTCACGAGCACGTCCTAGGAGGGCTCCAGTTGCTCCAGCTCCCGTGCTCTGCTGGGATCCACTCCTCCCACTCGATGCCGTCTGCGTGCAGACGGTGAAAGAGGACGAGGAGGAAGAGGGAATGGAAAGGAGAGGGGGAGTGAGAGGAGGGAAGGAGACGAGGGGGGAGGAGACGAGGGGGAGGAAAGGAGATAAGTGGGAGGGAGGGAGGGAGGGAGGGAGGGAGGGAGGGAGGGAGGGGAATGAGAGGAGGGAATGATTTTTGGGAGAGAGCGGGAGGTGGTGGTAGGAAGGCAGAGGCAGAGAGGCAGACGGCAGGGGAGGAGAAGGCACCTTGATTGCTGACAACGACAGGTCGAAGGCCGTCGACGATCTGACAGACTTGAGACTTTCGGTCGCAGATCAAACAAGCTTCTCACCTTGAGGAGAAATCCTTCGAGGTGGGAGGAAGAGGGTATGACAGGGAGGGCAGAGGAGAGGAGCGAGGGAGCGAGGGAGAGAAAGGAAGGAAAGAGAAACGCAGAAGACGTCAGAGGAGGGGCAAGAAAGTCTGCAGTCTTCACCTACACTCCTGCTGGGGGCCTGAGGGACGAGGAGGCAGGAGGAGGCGCCTGGGGAGAGAAAGCGTGCGGGGATGTCGACGAGGTTGTTGAGAAAGTTGATTAGCTCCCAGCCCATCACTCTGTCGACGAGGTCACGAAAACGTCAGGTTGTCTGTGAAACTCCTCTCCCTACTCCTCATCATCATCATAAATCATCATCATCATTCATCATCATCATCATCATCATCATCATCATCATCATCATCATCATCATCATCATCATCATCATCATCATTGCCGCAGCCGCACGCCGCAGCATTTCACTTCTCGCATTCTCCTCTCCTCATCAACCACCAATCCACATCCTTCCGTCTCCCCTTCCACTGTCCCCGCTACCTGCATCTTCTCCCTTCCAAGTCCTTCAACCATTCCCTTCCTTCCTCTCCTT